AATGTAGAAAAGTGGTCCCAAGATGGATACTTGTGAAACTCCAGCTCGAAGATTCCTAGCAGATGATATATCGTTACCTATTTTAACCCTTTGTGATCTCCCAGCTAGAAAATCTGCACACAGTTTTAAAGGAATGTCAGCAAATCCAATAGATTTTAATATTGCGCTTATAATAATAAATAATTCAGTTTGTGTAGGTTGATTTCCAAGATTTTTCATATTGCTGTTTTTCACTGGAAAAATTTGAAATTTTGGGAGAATGAGCTTCTCATCTTCCTCTTTACATGCAAAAAGTTTCAAAATTTTCCCTTTACTAGTTTTCCAGGAAAATTTTGGAATGTGTGAGATTGTATTTTCAACTAATTCAGTTTTTGTAGGTTGATTTCCAAGATTTTTCATGTTACTGTTTTCTACTGGAAAAATTTAAAATATTGGAAAAATAAGCTTCCCAGCTTCCTCTTTACATGCAAAAAGTAAAATTTTCCCTTCACTAGTTTTCCAGGAAAACTTTGAAATGTGTGAGACTGTATTATCAATTAATTCAGTTATTGTAGGTTGATTTTCAATATTCCTTATGTTGTTGATGTTGTTATTTTCCACTGGAAAAATTTGAAATTTAGGAAAAATGAGCTTCTCACGTTTCTCTTTACATGCAATCAGTTCCAAATTTTCCCTTCACTAGTTTTAGAGGAAACTTTGAAATATGTGAGATTGTATTTTCAACTAACTTAAGTAGTTTTTGTAGGTTGATTTCCAAGATTTTTCATGTTGCTGTTTTCTACTGGAAAAATTTGAAATTTTGGAAAAAAGAGCTTCTCAGCTTCCTCTTTACATGCAAAAAGTTTCAAAATTTTCCCTTCTCTAGTTTTTCAGGAAAACTTTGAAATATATGAGACTATATTTTCAATTAATTCAGTTATTTTAGGTTGATTTCCAATATTCCTTATGTTGTTATTTTTCACTGGAAAAATTAAAAATTCTGGAAAAATGAGCTTCTAACCTTCTTCTTTACATGCAAAAAGTTTTAAAATTTTCCCTTTACTAGTTTTCTAGGAAAACTTTGAAATGTGTGACTGTATTTTCAACTAATTCAGTTTGTGTAGGTTGATTTCCAAGATTTTTCTTGTTGCTTTTTTTCACTGGAAAAATTTGAAATTTTGGGAAAATGAGCTTCTCACCTTCCTCTTTACATGCAAAAAGTTTCAAAATTCAGTTTTTGTAGGTTGATTTTCAAGATTTTTCATGTTGCTGTTTTCCACTAGAAAAATTTGAAATTTTGGGAAAATAAGCTTCTCACCTTCTTCTTTACACGAAAAAAGTTTCAAAATTTTCCCTTTACTAGTTTTCTAGGAAAACTTTGAAATGTGTGAGACTGTGTTTTCAACTAAGTTATTCAGTTTGTGTAGGTTGATTTCCAAGATTTTTCATGTTGCTGTTTTTCACTGGAAAAAATTGAAATTTTGGAAAAATGAGCTCACCTTCCTCTTCACATGCAAAAAGTTTCAAAATTTTCCCTTTATTAGTTTTCCAGGAAAATTTTGATATGTGTGAGACTGTATGTCCAACTAATTCAGTTTTTGTAGGTTGATTTCCAGGATTTTTCATGTTGTTGTTTTCTACTGAAAAAATTTGAAATTTTGGGAAAATAACCTTCCCAGCTTCCTCTTTACATGCAAAAAGTTTTAAAATTTTCCTTTCATTAGTTTTCCAGGAAAACTTTGAAATGTGTGAAACTGTATTATCAATTAATTCAGTTATTGTAGGTTGATTTCCAATATTTCTTATGTTGTTATTTTCTACTGGAAAAATTTGAAATTTAAGAAAAATAAGCTTCCACATTCCTCTTTACATGCAAACAGTTTCAAAATTTTCCCTTCACTAGTTTTCCAGGAAAGTTTGAAATATGTGAAATTGTATTTTCAACTAATTTAGTTTTTGTATGTTGATTTCCAAGATTTTTCATGTTGCTGTTTTCTACTGGAAAAATTTGGAATTTTGGAAAAATGAGTTTCTCAGCTTCCTCTTTACATGCAAAAAGTTTCAAAATTTTCCCTTCTTTAGTTTTCCAGGAAAACTTTGAAATATATGATACTGTATTTTCAATTAATTCAGTTATTGTAGGTTGATTGCCAATATTCCTCATGTTGTAATTTTCTGCTGGAAAAATTTAAAATTCTGGGAAAATGAGCTCCTCACCTTCTTCTTTACATGCAAAAAGTTTCAAAATTTTCCCTTTACTAGTTTTCCAGGAACACTTTGAAATATGTAAGACTGTATTTTCAACTAATTCAGTTTTTGTAGGTTGATTTCTAAGATTCCTCATGTTGTAGGTAATTATCTACTGTAAAAATTGAAATTTTGGGAAAATGAGCTTCTCGTCTTCCTCTTCACATGCAAAAAAATTTAAAATTTTCCTTTCATTAGTTTTCCAGGAAAACTTTGAAATGTGTGAGACTGTATTTTCAACTAATTCAGTTTTTGTAGGTTGATTTCCATGATTTTTCATGTTGCTGTTTTCTACTGGAAAAAATTAAAATTTTGGGAAAATGAGCTTCTCGACTTCCTTTTTACATGCAAAAAATTTCAAAATTTTCCCTTCACTAGTTTTCCAGGAAAACTTTGAAATATGTGATACTGTATTTTCCGAGGAATTTTCAATTAATTCAGTTATTGTAGGTTGATTGCCAATATTCCTCATGTTGTAATTTTCTGCTGGAAAAATTTGAACTTTTGGGACAATGAGCTTCTCAGCTTCCTCTTTACATGCAAAAAGTTTCAAAATTTTCCCATCACTAGTTTTCCACAAAAACTTTAAAATATGTGATACTGTATTTTCAATTAATTCAGTTATTGTAGGTTGATTTCCAATATTCCTTATGTTGTTATTTTCCACTGGAAAAATTTGAAATTTTGGGAAAATGAGCTTTTCACCTTCCTCTTTATATGCAAAAAGTTTCAAAATTTTCCCTTCACTAGTTTTCCAGGAAAACTTTGAAATGTGTAAGACTGTATTTTCAATTCATTCAGTTATTGTAGGTCGATTTCCAAGATTCCTCATGTTGTAATTTTCTACTGGAAAAATTTGAAATTTTGGAAAAATGAGCTTCTCACCTTCTTCTTTACATGCAAAAAGTTTCAAAATTTTCCCTTCAGTAGTTTTCCAGGAAAACTTTGAAATGTGTGAGACTGTATTTTCAACTAATTCAGTTTTTGTAGGTTAATTTCCAAGATTTTTCATGTTGCTGTTTTCCACTGGAAAAATTTGAAATTTTCGGAAAATGATCTTCTCACTTTCCTCTTTATATGCAAAAAGTTTCAAAATTTTTCTCTTTTTTTAGAGGAATTTTTGGGGTATTTGGAGAAGTTCGTGGTGGGCTATTTGGAAGAATTTGTGATGGGGTATCTAAAGGAATTTGGAGCAGTTTGCAGTTATTTTGAGGAATTATGCGTAAAAAATTCCCCTTTGAGGAATTGTTTGTACCAATTCTGGGATGGTGGTTTACCCCTTGACTAAATGCTTTTTCAATTTAATTTTAAATTTTGCTATTGAATTTTGATGTTTGATATTTGAATTTAAATTATTAAAATTAGTTAAACCTTCATGAAAAATAGAACATTGGCAGTACATCCGCATAAGCAGTGTAGTCAAGAATTTCTGGACAGCTACAAAAACCATAGAAGTTACCATCATATAAAGTTGTCTACAAGTTTGTGGAGTGACCACATTGTCATGGGTAACTGCCAAAACATAAATTCAAATAAACACATAAAATTTACAAAAGGAAATTTTGGAATGCATTTGAGTAACAACCCTTCAGCAACAACTTGCATAGACTACTTACCCACATTCATTTGAAGAATTCTCTAAGGCTTTGGGATTTGCAATTAATAAGCATATGCCATTCACACCACAAAAATTAATGCCGAAAAACCATGGTAGGTAGTATTTAGTTTAGGGAAATACAAAGAAAAAGAGACTTGTGACACAAATATAGGTACAACAATAATAAACCAGTATCAAAATAACAAGATCAAAAGTTATGCAGTCAGTACAATATGTAAAAAATCTGTTGAAAAACACTAAACAGTTATGTTTTTGCGTTAACTCGAACCTTCACTCTAAAAACACCTACTTCAGTATTGTTGACAATGCTAATTGAATTGACAAGGAGATTGCAGAGTATTTTGCACAGCAATTAGGAGTGTTTTCACTAAACTCAGCCCTACAGATATTAGACCAACACTTCCAGTTGAATCCTACTCCAGAACAGAAATCAACACCATAAATTTCACCTCAGAAAAAGTAGAAATCGCCATTAAGACTTGATGAGATCCCTCCTATATTTCTTAAAAATTGTTTGCACTTCTGGCAGCACTTATAAATGACACAATATCCGCAGGAGATTTTTCACAACCTTGGAAAAAAGCAGTTGCTATACCTATATTTGAAAGGAATAACAAACAGCTAGAAGAAGTCTACAGACTACAGACCAGTCAGCCTGATCAGCGCCCTATATAAATGTATGGAAAAAATCATTGGAATTCATAAGCTTTATCCTTGAAGCTCATATTACCCCAACTACATGGTTTTCTCCCCAAAAAATCTACTTCTATGAACCTCGTAACCAGAATCAATATGTGATCGAAGGAGGATGATGAGTATGATCCAATTGATATAGTTTTCTTTGACATTTGATAAGATTCCAACAATATACTTATTATACAAGCTATATCATTTTGTCAGAGACGATTTTTTGCGACGTCATGAGGATTAATTTCTAACTGGATGTATTTTCCAACAAACGTTAATTAAAAAGAAAAGTTTTCTTGGTGAATAGTTGATGAAGATCAGTGAGTTGAAGGAAATTTTTGTTTTCAATAATATTCTTCAAAACAACTCAAACATTTTCCTCAAAAAATTCATAAATTTAGTAATTCAAGAGCCTGAAATAGACAAAAATTGACCTAAAAAATTTTACATTATTTTGTTTTGTTCATAGATCTCCTTGGTCCAACACCTACTACCCCCCACTGGACGACGGTCAGATGCCTTCAGAAAGACTACGCAAGTTAGAACTGGACGCCAACCACGCCTTCGACCAATACAGAGAAATGTACTTTGAAGGAGGCGTGAGCTCAGTCTACTTTTGGGACTTGGATCACGGATTTGCTGGTGTAATTCTGATTAAAAAAATCGGGGATGGTTCTAGAAAAATCAAAGGTTGCTGGGACTCTTTACATGTGGTTGAGGTGCAAGAGAAAAGCTCGGGCAGGAACTCGCACTACAAAATGACTTCCACTGCCATGCTGTGGCTGCAAACCAATGAAACAGGTTCAGGCACTATGAATTTGGGTGGCAGCTTGACCAGGCAAATCGAACAGGATTCTGCTGTCAATGAGAATAATCCTCATATTGCTAATATTGGCAGGATGGTTGAAGATATGGAGAATAAAATAAGAAATACGCTCAATGAGATTTATTTTAGCAAAACTAAGGACATTGTTAATAGTTTAAGATCGGTAAGTTATATAATTACTATGTTATACAATAATTGAATTATTGTTTTATTAGGTCCAGCCTTTAACTGAGAGTAGACAAAAGGAAATTTTAAAGCAAGACTTGGCTGCAGCTTTACAAAAAAGGCACAACAAGTCGGATAATTGATGTTTGCAGATATATGAAATTAATTACGGAGAGGAGTTATAATAATCTATGCGAAGTTTTTATTTTATTTATTTTTAGGTAGATAACATAATATTTATTGGTGCTAGTTTTCGGAATGAAGGAAAACTATTATTTGTATATAAGGCACTTGTAATGGAAAATGAACATTTTAGCATTTTTTTTTTCTAATGGTCTTATTGCTTGTTTTTGAACTTTCTTAGAGATATGTTTCAAGTAAGCTCAAAAAATCCAATTTTTATATATAAAGTATTATTTAATATAAGGTTTATTGAATAGGTACTTAGTTACAAAATATCAATTAAATCCCTGATATATTTTCCTCAAAAAATAAAGAGATAAAAGGTTCCTCAATGTCGTGAATAAAAAGATACCAAGTGGGCCTCAAAATCTATTAAGGGAAGGCAGAATAATTGAGCATTATTTGACAAATCTATGGGTTGAAAAACTATTGAGACAAAACTTGAAGATCCATTGGAGAAAGTTTGGGGCAAAACATACAGAACATTCAAATGAATTGAGCTTCAAGTAGGGAGTCTCTGAAGTTCCACATTTTCCATAGTTCTGATCTCGGATATTGTTCAAATTGAACTCAGACACTCTAAATGACTTTTAGATTGTCTCCTGATATACTTTGAAATAAACTCACATATACAACTAATATTTTATTATCAACTATCTGTATAAAATTCATCTATAAGGGAAAACGCTACACCATTGGTCCAGCCAAAACCAGCTTGTACTGTATACTCCCCTCCGCCGCCGAATTGTCCTGGTACCACCGCATCGTACTTTTCAAACATGATCGAGTTCTCTTCGTAGCCCAACATATTGGCTGAAATCCACCTAGAAAAAAAATATTACTCAACTATGCCATTTTGGTACCACTTATTACCTGTCAGCTAAAGTACTTGCAAGTTCCGTAGCATTACTATTGCCAGTTTTCAATAGTCCTAGTACTACAAGTTCTTGTAGAGGAGGCCAAGCGTTGGTCAAATCCCACTGTTCTCCGCTCTGCAACAAAGAAGTAGGAATTCCGCCCAGGTACTGGTCAACTCCTTGTTTTACGAAGTAAGCTGCAGCCCTTCTACCATACACCTCCTTTTTGCTTAAATCGTAAACCTCAGACCATAGAGGTGCATAATTGCTTGGGAAAAAGTACTTCCTAGCTTTTTGCAGCTGCGAATCGTAATCGAACCAAATGCCTTCTTCTTCGTCATACAAAACCATTTGAATTGATTTTTTCCATATATCCGAGCGCTCTTGCCAGTAGTCGCTTTTCTCCTTATTGCCTAAAGTATTATAGAAATCTGCTAAATCAGCAAAAGCTCTACATAAAAATGCGTTGAGATCCACAGGTATCACACGTTGAGCTTGAATGTGAGTTAAATTAGTATTGACGCCACCGTTATCATCAAAAAGCCACCTGGAGGAAAAGTCCCAGCCTGTTTCAGCACCACTTTTCAACGACTGATAGCACAAACTCTGAGCCACTTCGTCAGGGTAGCTACTGCAAGTTCTAACATCTTCTGCGTAAGCCTCAGGCCTAGGTGTATTACTGGAAGATTGATAATGAGCCAACATATGAGTGACTCCATCTTTTTCAACAGGAATAGTTCGGTTATCGGACCAAAAATTCATTTCTGTTTCTACACATTGAATGATGTTTTCGATGAAATTAGTATCGTTGGTAGATTTGAGGTAGCTTTGGATCATTAGAGTGAATAGAGGCGGCTGAGATCGGTTGAGGAAGTAGACGCGCGCCCCGTTAGGCATGAAACCGTATTTGGTGATCAGGTGGCAGATATTTTCCAGCATTCCTTTGACGGTGTCGTACATTTCGCATTGGAGGAGGCCTTTGATTACCCAGTATGAGTCCCAGTAGTAAAGTTCTCTAAAAAGAATTTTCAGTGTTAATTTTATTCTCATGAGTGATGTAAAATAATTCTGCTTATGGAGAATTTGTACAACATTTTGTAGAGAATTTTTGATATAAATTATTCAAAATATGGATTTTATAGTTTTATAGATTCTTTTCTTATTTGATATAAAATAAAACCAGACTATTTGACACACTATATATCTATCAAAGTCAGAAAGCAACACTTAAATTAGGCAATCCCATAATCTTTTTAAGACCCGATAGTAAGTAAGAATACCTACAAACAAAATTGTGTTTTAACAAATAAAATCTTTCAAACGTCTTGGTTTTCCACTCAGTCTCTGAGATCTTCGAGGCCTTTCTTCGTAGTTAGATGGTGGCACAAAAGCAGAGTTTGGCTCAGGGATTTCTACTGGATCTGACAGGGCTCAACTTGTAATAATCAATGGCAACTGAATTTCGCTATTGCAATCTGGTTTTGTTTCTTCTGGTTCTTCATGCACATCGACAAAAGTTATACCTACTCGCTTTTTAAGAACTTCCGTTTTTCGAATTTGATCTTTATATGTCACTTCAGGGAATATTTGTCATCTAAAAGTACTTGATAATGAAGAATACCATACTTCTGTGTAATATTTCCAAATTTCCAGGACATTTTATTATTTTCATAAAAACGAACTTGCATTCTATCTCCCGCGCCTAATTGACGGGGTGAAGGATATTGTTCTTCAATTTTCACATGCTGCATTGGTCGAATAGTGGTTGGTAAAATGCCATCAGCAAGAAGTGTTGCTTGACACTTTAGTAGAATTTCTTAAATTTTCCTTGTCATACTTGTAGGTTCATTGTCCATATGGCTTTTAATCGATTTTTTAGAGTCTGAACTTTTGCGCTCAGCAAGACCATTAGTAGCTAAATGGCCCGATGCGATAAGTTTTTGAAAAATTCCATATTCTCTACAAAACGACGTGAAAATACTACTCTCAAAAGTTGTAGTATTATCGGATACCATAACTTTTGAAAATCCATGTGTTGAAGAAATATCTTGTAAAAGTTCAATCATTTTCGTTCATGTTGGTATGCATCCCTGATTATTTTGACTTCTGCCCATCGTGTTTTTACATCTACGACCAGTAGAAAATTGAAACCTTGAAAAGGACCAGCATAGTCAATATGTATAAACAGGTAACTCCCAGTGGTGCATAATGGAGCTTTGGCTGGAAAAGATCGAATTAATTAGGGCACACGAATGACATGATTTAACCAATATTTCTATAATTCTATCGATTTTTTTCCAAAAATAATACTTTCTTGCCAACTGCTCCATTTTTGTGATTCCAATTTGAGTTTTATGCAGTTCTGCTAACACTTAAGGTAGAAGTTTAGGTTAGTCGGTATTACAGCTCTTTGTTCCTTGAAAAGCACTCCAGCTTCCCGTAATTAAATTCTGAAAATTGATTAGTCAATAAATCAGATTTTATTTTCGATAGGACTGGTAATTTCGCATTCTGGTAGAAATTTTTTGTAAGCGGGTTGTTGTTCAGTGATCAATTTCAATTTTCTTCCATATAAATATATGTAATAGTGATTTACTGACAAAATTATGGGTAAAAGCCTCTCTGTTCAATTGGCTATAGTTAAGTAGGTACGTTCACTTAAGCGAAAGCTATCGGTTTTTCTATGTGATAAAACACCTGCAGCACCTGTAGGACTTGCATCACAAGCTAAAATAACAGGTAAATTTGGGTCAGAGCACGATTATTCGCTATTTTCTGCTTCAACTTTATGAATACTGCCTCATAGGAACGATCCCAATAGAACTTTTTGTCCTTTTGAAGTAATTTTCGTAAAGGATAAGTCATTGTCGATGCACTGGGTATAAATCCAGAATAATATTGTAAGCATACCAAGAAAACGATGAACTCCATCTATATCTTTGAGTCTAGGCATGTCAACTATGGTTTTTACTTTTGCTAGAGATTTTGATATTTGATTAGGTATACCTACCTATGTTGAATCACATGCCCAAGATATATAGTGTGGATATAGTGTAATATTGGCGAATTTTTTAACAAAAACACTTTCTAGTTTGGAGAATAATTACCACTTTCTATAAACTAAACTGATTCCTTGAGAACCAACCTTAAGTTAAGTAATATAAAAATGATTTCTCCTCTATTAGTTCCTTCAGTTTACCTCGTCTTCTAGTACCTGAGCTAACAAATCGTATCGAAAGAACCATCGTTTTGGTGATGCTAGTAAGAAAGGTTTTTGCAGTGTTCTCTACTTTCGTTGTTTTCTGAGCTCTGGAGATATTATTATACGTTTTGTTTGTGTCAAGACCAAATAAGCACAGCTTTAAGACTGTATCACTCCCTAGGCTTGAACTTAACGCTGCTGTTCTATGTGCTTGAGTAGTTTCTTTTGTATCTAAGTCTTATGAAGAGAAATTCCACTCCACATCGATAATATTTTTTGTTACTCTGAATCTATGGTTACTCTGATTTTAAGGTTACTCTCAACTGGATTACTTCTCCCCCTCGTCGCTGGCGCACTTATGTTAGTAACCGAGTTGCTTTCATGCAAGATCAAGTCTCTCCATCATCTTAGTTCTATATTCCGTCTAAAGAAAATCCTGCCGATGTTGGATCTCGTAAAATGTTACCCTCCGACCTTATCAACTGTAATTTATGGAGGCGGCTCCAATCCTAATTAATCTAGAATTTCCAAGCTTGGAACCGATCGAGTTTCCTGAAAATTCTGACATTAATACTTTGGGACAAAAACCGACAATCCAAATAACTATACAGTGACACAGGACGTCAACTTTATCGACATCTTTCTTGAATCGGACTTCTTGTTTAACTATGTCTAACCGCATTCTTGCCTATATCTTACGATTCATCAATAATTGTCTTTCTCGAAGCCGCAAACAAACTAAATTTACTGATAATCTAACTTCCTTTGAACTTTATAACTCGATGTTATTTTTTGTTAAACATACTCAACTACTTCATTTATCACAAGAAAGTAAATCCTTTCGTGAAAATAAATCTATTCCCAAATTATACCCTTTTATCGATTAACAAGGAATATTACCAGTGAGAAGTTTACTCCAACATGCTACTATTCCGTACGTTAGTAAATTTCCTGATCTACTTCCCGGCTGTTGTACTTTAACTGATCTGATCATTCAATCCACTCATATATCCAATATTTACATTCCAGAGTTCAAACAACCCATTTTCTGATCCTTCAACGCTATTGGATTGTTTCTGCTAATAGATCAATTCGACGAGTACTTTCTAAATGCATCACATGCTGGATCATGTTTCTATTGCCATTTGACATCACTGTAGCCAGGGTCCGAGGATCGAAGGTTCTGAAATCATATCTTTGCTTATTTATCTGTTTGTCTGTGAAGGCAATTCATTTAGAGTTAGTTTCAATTCTATCTGCTGATGCTTTTTTGACTGTCTTCAGTCGACGTGGTGTTGAGCACATTTATTCCAATTGTGGCACTAATTTTGTAAAAGCCAACGGAATTCTAATCAAGTAGGTACGCCGCTAAAACAGCTGCTAAGAAATCCATCAGCTGGCACTTTAATCATCCTTCTGCTTCCCATTTTGGTGGGCTTTGGTAATCACATATCAAGTCACATCTTATCCGGGTTCTAGGAAAAGAGCTTCTTACCTATGAAGTTTTTATCCCGATCGGAGCAATTGTTAACTCTCGACCTATCAGTCCAATTAACACTGACCTTCGCGTCCCCTGGTAATTTTTTGACCATGGATTCCCTCCAGAATCTGACTTCAAATCTATCCCTCTTAATCGGTTAACAAGATGGCAGCTTTTATCCAATTTGCAACAGCATTTTTGGACTCGTTGGTCAAAAGAGTATCTGCATACTCTTCATCAAAAAGCAAAATGGCATGCGTCTTCTCCAAATCTGGAGCCTGGGACATTGGTTGTTATAAAAAAAGACAATATTCCGCTTCTGAATTGGCCTATGGCTCGAATTGTCGAAACCTTTCCAGGTTCGGATGGAATTGTCTGGGTTGCGATCGTTAAAACGGCTGACGGTTTTTTCAAAAGACAGCTACCTATAAATTTAAGATAGAAATTTATGTACCTAACTACTTTACCTAATTATATAATTTCTAAGTTTTGCTCCATTAGATGTAAAATTTATATCACATTGATGTTTATGGTTTATGTGTTTTGCATTTTTGGCCCTGAAAAATCCGACATTGCCTCACAAAATCACCCATCATTACTATTACACTCAATTAATTTTTTACAAATTCTGATGCATATTTATATATTCCTAATCAGAATTAAATGCTCGTTAAAGATAATAAAGTTGAAAGTTTGTCTCAAATTTTGGAAAACCTACAAAGCCGATTATCTCGAAAACGAAGCCCTAAGATACGGTGGTTTCCAAAATAAAGCCCTTTGAAATATCTCAGATTGAAATTTCAATTTTACTCAACATTCATATGGAAAGGGTAGGTACTCGGGTAGGTACTCCAATTTCTCAGTTTTGGTTCTTCTTTTAAAAATTTGATTTCTTAATTTCTTAAAAACTACACAAGGTCACACTTATTTTAAACTTGATCCATAGAATAAATTTCAATCAAGCAAGACTTTAGAGTATCTCTCTCTTAAATGCCTTAAGAAAAATTGAACAGCGATTCAAGAGCCTGGAATAGTCCAAATTGTGAATCACTACTGACTACTGGATTCTGAATTGCTGCAGTTTTGCATCAAAAACTGATAATGAATTAAAATTTGGAATATTCCTGGCTCATAGTTACCTTTATACAATTCGAATGACGATTCAATAGTCCAAATTTTGAATCACTACTGGGATCCTAAATTGTGTTACCTACAGTTTATCATTATCGTAACAATTGCTGGAGATTTTTCTGAAACAAATTGCCATGGTCCTAAAGCTCAAATTGTCCAATGCATCAGACACCGGTAATGATTCAAAATTTGGACTATTTCCGGATCGTTTTTCTCCTAAAAGTTCCGATTTCTTGAAAACTACACATAGAAAAAACTTCTAAACCTGCAGACGAGAATGTTGGAAATGTATTCTTAGAAAATTCCCTCCCCCCTTTTGAGAAATCTTAAATTGTCTCATAAGATTATTTCTTGTTGAATTAGCCTTCCGAAGAATGAAGAATCACTTAGAAAATTAGTCTCCCTCTTCCTTATTGATAGACTGTAAATGAGAAACTGCATCATGCGAAAATATCCAGGAGCAGGATCTCAAAAAACCAGGTCCAATCAGCCCAACCCATAGAAAAAAAAGCTTCATAAAACTGTAGATATACCAGGCCTTTTGAAAGGGGGGGAAGTTTAAGTTAAAGTAAGCTAGATTGAGTTAGTTTGGTTTAGTTTGGCAGCGCATTGTGCAAGATACGGTTTTTCGAAGAAATGGCCCATAAAAATATGGGAATGGGGGAACTATTTAGCGGAATAAGGTGATTTTAAATAGGTAGGTACAGCAGTGGCGACGCGTGACTTGCAGTCTGGGGGGGGGTAATGGGAAGATGTGACCCCTCGCTAACGCGCCGCAGACGAAATTTTTTGCAACTTCAATATTATTATGTATTTTCTTTTGGGCCTCGTGATTTTTCCCTTGATTATTGGATCCTGGGGGAAGGGGGGGGGGGGGGGTTATTACCCCCACAACCCCCCCGACGCGACGCCCCTGAGGTACAGGGTGATTTTATATATTGACACCCCACCTACAGCCCAGGTAAAAGAAAGGTGTAAATACAAAAGTTGTACAGTTTTGGCTGAATTCTTAGAAACCATGGTCAGAAACAAACTTTGAATGTCAGAACTGTGAAATTTTGCATGCTTTCAGCTTTTTTTAAATGGGATACCCTATATTTCATTCTATATTCTTGAAGAGCACAATGCCCCGATTCCAAAAATATATAGTTTGTCTATATTTGATTGAACAGTCTCTCATATATTCGGCTTCAAAAATTGTAAAAGTACTATCCTACTAGTGATTTTGTGAACCATTCTACCTATACAGGTGAAAGCTGCAGTTGAACTTATTATATAAAGTCAAAATTTGTAAGATTATCCACTTTTTGTCAATTTGCCTTTCAACAGGAATTGGTAATGTTACTTTACGAAACTAGTAACATAATGTGACAAGTTATTCAAGTACAAACGAGTGAATTCAAGTACAAACGATACTAAACTGACTCACTCAAATGTGCGTTATTCTCATTAGTTCAAAAATTACACGTTTCAAGTGAAGTCTTACTTGAACAGTTCAACAGTATATTGGTGATTAGATGGCTGCGGAACTCGCTGCGCTCGTCCCGCAGAGGTTCAACCATAAGTTCCGCAACAATCCACTTATTTGTACTTAAACAATAACTTATTATACGGGGTGTCCCACGGTGGATGGCCTATCAGACGTTTATGAAGAACTAAAAAGCGGATCATTTTGAAAATTTGGCAACCGGGATAAACGACCCTGATCTACACTTTAAAAATATTTTCGTTTATGCGGTGTTGCCGCTTCTACTCTAAACTAGTGGCAACATCGCTATTTTAAATGAAACACCCTGTATGTGATTGCATATTTAGATTCTACGTAAAATTCTGAGCAGATTTCATGTGATATACCCTATACCTAAGTTCAACTGTTTTGGAAATATTGACAGTTGAAAATTGACTTTTTGCAACTTTGACAGGCTATAAAACCTGAACGGTTAATTTTAGAGAAAAACTGATTTCACATTCCTATCTTGGATTTTTCATCATTCAACACCAACTTTAAATTTAACCGGAGATTAAATTTAATTGGAATTTTTAATCATGGATTAAATTGGAAGTTGATGTCAAATGATAGTTTATAAAAATCTAAGATAGGAATGTAAAATCGGTTTTTCTCTAAAATTAAGCGTTCAGGTTTTACAGCCTGTCAAAGTTGCAAAAAGTCAATTTTTAACTGTCAATATTTCCAAAACAGTTGAACTTAGGTATAGGGTATATTATACGAAATCTGCTCAGAATTTTACATAGAATCCAAATATGCAATCACATACAGGGTGTTCCATTTAAAATAGCTATGTTGCCACTGGTTTAGAGTAGAAGCGGTAACACCGCATAAACAAAAATATTTTTAAAGTGTAGATCATGGTCGTTTATCCCGGTTGCCAAATTTTCAAAATGATCCGCTTTTTAGTTCTCCATAAACGTCTAATACGCCATCCACTGTGGGACACCCTGTATAGTCAGAATTTGTAAGTTTATCCACTTTTTATCAATTTGCCTTTCAACAGGAATTAGTAATGTTACTTTACCAAACTAGTAATATATTGTGATGAGTTATTCAAGTACAAACGAGTGGATTGTTGCGGAACTTATGGGTAGACCTCTGCGGGACGAGCGCAGCGAGTTCCGCAGCCATCAATTCATTAATATTTTGATTAATTACGATACTAAACTGACTCACTCAAATGTGCGTTATTCTCAGACTCATTAGTTTAAAAATTACACGTTTCAGGTGAAGTCTTACTTGAACAGTTCAATATTATATTGGTGATTAGATGGCTGCGGAACTCGCTGCGCTCGTCCTGCAGAGGTTCACCCATAAGTTCCGCAACAATCCAGTTACTTGTACTTGAACAATAACTTATTAAATAAAGTCAGAATTTGTAAAATTATTCACTACTTGTCAATTAATTGGTCTTTTAATAAGAATTAGTAATGTGATTTTACCAAATTAATAATATATTGTTCATTAATTCAAAAACTACACGTTTCAGGTGAGTGTCTTATGAACAGTTCAACAGTATATTTGGTGGGTAGATGGCGCAGAGATCCACCCATAAGTTCCGCAATAATCCAATTATTTGTACAGGGTGTTTTTTTTTTTATATATATTGACATCCCACCTACAGCCTTTACCTTCACAGGTAGAAGAAAGGTGTAAATACAAAAGTTGTACAGTTTTTGCTAAATTATTAAAAACCATGGTCAGAAATAAAATTTGAATGTCAGAAATGTGAAATTTTGCATGCCTCCAGCTTTTTTCAAATGAAATGGGATGCCCTATATTTCATCCTATATTTTTAAAGAGCACAAAAAATTGTGAAAATACTATCCTATATACTACTGATTTTGTGAACCATTCTACCTTTACAGGTGAAAGCTGCAGGTAAAATATTTGAGGTACCTACTTAGTTTCTCTGATAGTATTTTTAAAATTTTTAGAACCAAATATATTGCGCCCTCCTGTCCCCCACTGTATCCGCCACTAAGATATACAAATAGCTGATTATTGATTATAATAAAAACAAGTAAGGGTACCTACGTATCCTACAAATGTACTTAGATTATTCTTACTTGAATCTTCCTCCAGGAACAACAAAACCATTGGGCACCGCTAAAATTGAGTGTCTTTCCGGATTCTCCACAACATCCGCAGTGGTTTTGCGTGCCAACGTTGGCCAAATTTGATTCAGCTTCTGAGCGAATTCCCTCACATCTTCGTCAGTGATTCTTTCCAGAAATGCTGGATTCTGTTTGAAATCTGTTGGAGTCCAACTTTCCTGGATAAATTACTGTGTAATTTTTGAAAAGACTTAGATAATAATGATTCTTACCGTTTCATTTTGACTAACAAAATTGTCGGCTACAAATTGTGCTATTTCAGATTTGTTAGGGCTTCCTTTGGTTTGATTCATAAATATCCTTCAAATAATAATTAATTATAGAAATTAAGATTAACAGACGCAAAATCACTTACCAAAAATTCTCTAAAGTAACATTTTCCGGATTAATTTGGCTCATGTCTACGAAAGTTTTCGAATCGCTGTAGATTTTGGCCGACTGAACAACTTCCAAAAGTTCCCCTTGGCAGTAGACTGGATTCGAGCAGGACTGGACGATTTTAAGTTCCGAAACACCATTCCGGAGAACACTGGAAAGGGCTAGTTGAAAACAACAAGCGGATAGGAGGAACAGGAACCGCATTTTGCCCTTTGAAAATATAATTTTTACTTCATATTGATTTTCTTTGTTAATAAATACATTTTTATCAATAATTATTGTTGGTTTTAATCAAAATGAAATCGTGTCTCACGACTCTTATAATTATTATCTTGAAAAGTCAGAGGTGGAGAAGAATTTTGCTTTTGATTATGAATGTCTTATTAATATAGTTAGAAAAAGGCCGCTACTGATTTCAAATTAATATAGTTTTAGATTGATTTATACGATTCTTTAAATTATGGATTTTAAAACAAAATTTACCTTCAAATTTACTGAGCACTTTGTGGTTTTTTTCAAATTTTAAATTCAAATGTATGTATTATTTGAACCAGCCACAATACGAAAAGCGGTTTTTAAATTTTCCTCAAATAGCACAATATAATTATTTGCGGAAATGTCATTAAAAAAAAAATAACACATTCTGGGTATTTAATCTATATAGAATAATATTATTTTAAGTATAATTGTTTTTAACGAACAATTGTTATACGGTTTTTCACCAGATTAATTGTCAAATTGCTTACCAAAATAAGTCAATTGCACTGGGGTAAACGTTGCAATAAAGTGCTGAAAACGGAAGAAATTCATAATAATTTCATAACCAATCTAATAAGACAAAAGATATCTTTTCTTATTGTTAAATTTCAAGGATCCTGTAAATTAATTTAAAACCGTTTTAATTAATTCAAAAGCGGTACTGTTTTCCGTTTGCCTTAGGCAGGTCTTTTACCATTAGATTTTCTTATAATAATAATTATTGTAGTTGGATTTTTAGATCTATATACTAATTTTGTTTCAAAATTAGGATTTTCATAGTCCAGTTACCAAAGAAATCTTGTCTACAAATTATAATTCCATCTTAAATTATTTGTCTTACCCTGCTATAGATGAGTGAAAACTAATTTACTTTAGACCCGCCTCATTAATCACCAAAATTGATAATAATTGATATTGATTCGCCAACGAACGTTGAACCATTGTACTAATGTAATCATGCCAATGCGATTTTCCTAATTTTGTTTGTGGAGAAAATCCAAAGATAAGATTAGATACATTTTAATGTCAAGGGTAGGTACTGTTTGCTTTACACTTTAGGTCTTTTATCTATAAAGGTCAGGTAAATTTCTTATTTTCAAGGGCTTTAGGTACTCAACTTGATAAATCAACGGACGAGTATGTATTTTTCCCAAATTTTGACGGCACGCGATTGGACGATTAACCGCAGTAGGTCTTTGCGGACATATCCTAACTTTACCAGCTTTTTTATTTTGAAAAAATACTCTCAATCTGTTTTAAAAATCTAATCAAGTGCTTCAATTGAAGTGCAGATATCAATAACTTGAAGTTTAATATGGGTTAAGTTGAATTTTTATTTGTACAATACTTAATAGCTATTTGCGTTGAGTGTGTTGTAAGTACATAGTTCGTCGATTTTAATCTGATATTCCAAAGGAATGTGAGCTGGTAGTTCCCTACGTTAGGACGTCAATAGTCACCTGACGTCACACCTGTTTTTGCCATAATATGAAACACTCCCTTGCTCCTCATACGCCCACATAACAAAATTGCATCCTTAGAATGTATTAAGAATGTTCTTTTTTTTAGGAGGAATGTGCCTAGAATGTTCGCCAAAACCATTGCGTATGTCCTGAGAATGTTCTGAGAAAAGATTGTAGAAATACTGTTTGCAATACCCAAGAACTTCCTGGGAAATCCATTAGGATATTCCTAGAATATACCTATGAAATTCTCAGTACATCCTGAAAAGAATATTCCTGTTTGATTCTAAAAATATACTCGAAATGTATATTCTCAGATTCAAAGAATGTTTCTATGACATTATAGTTATGTTCTCAAAAGAATATTATACCAATATGCTTAAAATATTCTTAGAATATATCTACATATATCATTCTCAATATGCATCCTAGACATAACATTCTTGTTTGATTCTAAGGATGTACTTGGAATGTTAATTTTCGCTTCCAAATAATGCTCCTTTCAGCCTTTTTATATTAAAGGCAGTGAATGAGTTGTTGGAAAACTTCTCTGGAAAACACAAGTATTTAACCAAAGCTCCGGTTTCGAGCTTGTTATGCTCTCGTCGAAGCACGCCAACTGAGAGAAACAGGTTCCAAGGTGATTCAAACGCGAGGCAAGATGTAGATCTTTAATAGCGCGTGGCTCCCTCTCTTGGAAGTCCTACAAAGCAAATGAAAAAGAATATACCTATAATATTCTTAGTAGGTTCTAGATAGAGCATTATTGTTTAATTATTCAATTAAGATTTTTGAGTAGGTACTTTAGATAATTCGGTGAACAATATGAAAATATTCTTATCATGGTTACTTACCTACATAAACTTCTCAGCACAACTTGGTAGGTATATTCTTAATATTTGATACAGATATTAGCCGAAAGAACATTTTTTAGGATACATTATAATAATGTTCGTATGAGAATATTCGAATAATGTTATATAAAGTAGGTTCTTAGCACAATCTTTCAGGTAGGTGCATAGAAGCAACATTCCTAGTACATAAATAGAACGTTCAAAAATGAATATTCTTCAAAAATGAATATTTCAATCGAAACAATCTTAGAATATTCATTGAACATTCCTAAAAGAACATTCCAAAAAGCACTTTGAGGGAATATTCTAAGAATATGAATGTTATTCTTTCACTGTTATGTGGGCGGAAAGTGTCAGATTATATTTCTAATCAAGGAAAGAAAAATAAATCATTCTGAAACCGTTCTATAAACGTACTAACAGGTCATTGTAAAGCATCTAGTTTGATATTCTTGAGGATAGATCGTGCCACTGTTTTACATGTATATACAGTGTGTCCACTTATAAGTTCACAGCACATGGGATTGGGACACTTTTTTATTATCAATTTTACGAAAAAAAGTTATTGTTTATAAAAGTTTCTGCTTCTTGAAAAAATAGTATTGAACTAATAAAACTTGAAATAGCATGTATAGGGTGGTCAAAAAATAGAAAATTATACAGGATTTTATGGTAAAAGTAGAAAAAAATGGCACTTCACTATTTTTTAAAACCTTTGATATTTTTTTCAGATTAAGCAAGTCATATTACCGTCAAAAGATAATCCTATTTTTGGCTCTGGAAAATTTTCAAAATCCTGACATGGTCATGAACAATTGCCCATATCTTTAGTAGTAAATTTTGAGCAATTTGAAATAAATTATACACCATTGGAAAGAGCCTTAAATTCTCTATAAATCTGTGTAAAATTGAGCTCGATAGCTCGGATAGTTTTTGAGCAATTGAGCCTCAAAGTTGACTTTTAGTCCAAATTTTGTTAAAAACTTCAAACTCAATTTGCTCAAAAACTAGAAATCTGGAAATATTGTAAATTATAGGCCATTTAAAACTTGATAAAAGCTACAAATTCTGGAAATTTTAAAGCAATTTGCTCAACGGTTACCCAGCAATTGAGGTTTGAATATTTTGAACTCAGAATTCAAAGGGGTACCCTTATAAAAAATTCGATTTTTTTATTTTTTAGTTTTGCTCAATTTTGACCTCATGAATCGATAGAGCGGGTCAAAATTAGTGGAAAACAACCCTGACATCAATTCCAAATGGCCATTTCAGGCAGACACAAAAATAAAAAGATAATCCTATTTTTGGCTCTGGAAAATTTTCAAAATCCTGACATGGTCATGAACAATTGTCCATATCTTTGGTAAATTTTGAGCAAATTGAAATATATTATACATCATTGGAAAGAGCCTTAAATTCTCTATAAATCTGTGCAAAATTTTGGACAATTTGATGGGCTTTAGGATCATGACCACTTTTTCCAGAAACTCCGGATTCATCAGTAGTAATTCATAATTTGAACAATTCCAGGCTTTCTTGAATCTCTGTTCAATTTGTCTAAAGGCAGCCAAGAGCCAGAAATAACATTTAGATTTTAGACAATTATAAGCAAGATTCTAGTAAAATTGAAATGTCATTTAAGTATAGGAACCAAAGAAATTATGGCTAGGTTCGTTTATTATATCTGCGAGCAAAAAGAACAAATTTTGACAAATGTCACGTGATTTGACACCTAGAAAAAGATAAATAATCACCTGACCTCCGTCAAAATTTGCTTTTTTTGCTCGCAGATGTAATAAACGAACCCAGCTTATATCAGCAAGTTACTCGTAAAATGACATTTAAGCGTCAAAGAGTTCTTCACAGTAAAATGACATTCAGACGCCAAAGAATTGGAATTAGGAGCAAGTTTGTATTGAAATGACATTTAGGTTTCAGACAATTATAAGCAAGTTTCTATTCCTGGCTCTTGAATCATTATTCAGTTCCTTTGTCTAAAGACAACCAAGAGACAGAAATATTTCCAAATTTTGAATCATTACCAGTTTCTGATGCATTGGACAATTTGAGTTGTAGGATCATGGCCATTTGTTCCACTGGCTCTTGATCTACAAGGTAATTCTTCTAATGGCAATCATGACATACTTATATTCCAAAAGTGGTTTTTCTCAAAAACTTGATTCGCCTGCTTGGGTAATTTATTTTCAAGATTTTGACTACTGATCATAATTTTGATTATTTGACTGATACTGATTCCTTCTAGAAAAATTATCCAGGCCTGTATTCAGCCATTAACATACACGTGGACGATTCATTATACTAAAGCCCCGTTTACCTTAATTGTTAATGAGTCAAACTTCTTTCCTCGGGCACTTTTTTGTTTTTCAACGAATCAATTATTGAAACTTTATTAGGATTTGCTCTTAACCCTTGTAAAACGACCCTTCAAAGTATGTTTTTGATGTATGAAACCCTTTTCCAGAAAATCAATCAAACATTAAATGACGCAAGGATGATTTTTGTGAAGAGTGGAAACTGATTTTTTTAAAGTGAAACTTCTTTCCTGGGAGACTTTCTGGTTTTTCAACGAATCAATTTGAAACTTTAATACCATAGGCTCTTAACCCTTATGGAAAGACCCTTCAAAGTAAATTTTTGATATCTGAAACCCTTTTCCAGAAAATAAATCAAACGTTAATTGGTGTAAGGATACTTATTGTGGAAAGTGGAAACTGATTTTTCTAAAGTCAAACTTTTTTGTTTTTGAATAATTCAATTTGTATAATGTGCTTCTAGCCCTTCAAAGAAAATTTTCCCAGAAAATAAATCCAATGCATTTTCCTTGTGACGAATTCAGAATTCCGAGAAGAGAGGAAATTTTAATTGTTAGGTTAAATCAAGCAAAATACCAGAATATTTCGCAAATTAAAACTTTACAAATTGGTCTATGTAAATTTTGAACTGATTGATCTTAAAATCCTGTAGTTTTCCCAGCAAAATCCAACTTAGCATTTTCCTTTAAACTAAAACAAGACCGCGGGGGTTGTTACGTCATAACCATAACTTTCGGCTCCATCTTCTCGCCAGCTTTTTTACGTCAAATTAAAGTCGGATTTAAAGGAAAACGGTTGTTTTCCCTTTTACCACCCTCTGGCTCGGACTTTATATATGCCAGGGAAGAGGATGATGGCCCTTTGCTTTTATTTTACGTTCGGTACAGTCTATTTTATTCTGATTGAGGATTTGCGGTTTCGAGAGGAAAAAGGCTTACGCGTCTGGGATTTTTTGGTTATTTTTTGAATTTTTGTATTAGGGAATTTTTCATTGCTTGTTGTTTGATTTAAGATAAAATCTTTGTATAGTCGTCAATGGGGTAAAACCCATTTTTGTGCTATGTTTGTTGTGGGTATTTCCTCTTTTATTCTAGGTATTATGACAAAGTGGGGTCAAATTAATCAAAAACAGAAACGAAAATTCAAGAGAAATGGATCGGTATTTTCTCTATTCAAGGCTCTTGAATTTTCTCTATTTGTAGAAATTTTGAAAAGATTCAAGCGCCAGGAATAGACAAAAATTGAGCTAAAAAAAATTGAGAAAAAATCACAACTTTACTATTTGTTGCTC